CCAATGCATGTGGCGCGACGACGTTATTTGGTCACGGCCGTGACCAAAAGGGTTAGTTTCGCAAATTTTTTTAGAGCGATTATTATTGAAATATTGAATAAAAATGATTAAAAAAAAAAAATCCCCCACTGTAGCCAGTGCCGGCCCTAGGGAGAGGGCATGAGGTGCGACGGCCGAGGGCCAGGGGAGGGGCCCAAGCCAGGGTATATAAACCTCATGTTCTATAGTCCGTTAGACATCAGCAAACTAATGAGAAGAGAGACAAAGAACTGGCCAGCTGGCCCAAAAAGATCGGCGGCCTTTCTGGCTTTGTTTCCCAGTTTTCACCACGGCCTGCCTCGGATCGCGCCACAGCGACGATCACAAATTGCGACTTGTGAGTTCGCGACGCGCTCACGCGCCGACACCCGAGTCCCAACGCATACACGTGGAGTCAGACGATGCGACGAGCCGCACCGCCGAGTCCGAGAACGGCGCACGACGGCGGCGACTAGGACCAGGCAGGGCTCGACGACGACGACATCTTGGTTCTTACCTTCTTGCGAATTGCGATAAGTTGTTTCAGTTCATGTCTAGGCCCTAGGTATTTTTTACTTGTTCATTTTTAATCCAAGTTAATTATTTGTATACTATTCTAGACTTCTAGTACTATGTACTCGTATAGTCATGTTTTTCTTCTAATTTAGTCATGTTAAATTAAAAATATATTATTAGATTTGCTTTTCCCTTTACAAATAAAATTAGCGCATATATAATATAATATTTTATACATGGTCTAGAGGGCCCGTAGCGATGAACTGGCGAAAGACCCTCAAAATCCTAGGGCCGGCGCTGTGCGTAGCTGCTGCTGGCTGTGGTTAGCCATAGCCGGCTGTTGGCAGGCCATGGTAGGCTATGGGCGGCAGGGGCTGGCTGTCATGTTCCTTCTACTCTCGATGTTTCTTTGCTAGAGCCTCTTCCTGTCTTGCCCTAGCCACCACTGAAATCCTCTGGCCGCCCCCAGCCACCACTGGTCGCACGTAGCTTGGCAACCTCTGCCCGCCTCTGGCCAGGCCTACCTGGCTGCCACTGGCTATGGTCAGTCATGGCCGGCTTTGACTGTCAGCCGCTACCTGTGTCCATTTGTGGCTGGGGGCGGCTGTGGCGTGCCTTGGGGTGGCCACGACAAGGCTACCAACGGTGGATGTGATCTTCATGCGAGATGGACATTTTGATTTTCTAGGAGCGAGATTTGGGAAATCGGTTGGAGGAAGCCAACAAATGTGCTCCTCACTTTTTTTTAGTGACTTGAATAACTCATTGATTTACCAATTCTTTTTTGTGAACTATTGGAGATGCTCTTAACATGTGTTTTTGTAGTAGGTATCACAATGGATTAGTCATAGAGAATGGCCACATGGTTGTCTTGGCCCACAAGATTTTTGGATTAATTAAGCACAAGGTGCAAAGCATGTGAAGACTAAGAACTCTATAGAACAAATGCAAGCTTGGTGCTCGGAGGCATTTTGTTGTAGAGTGTATTAGGGCTTTGTTTTTTCTTTGTTCTACTATTAATTCATGAAGGTCACAATTTACACAAGATAGAACAGTACGTACCATGCATTTTAAACTTGAGTTGCTAAAAAAAAATGCATTTTAAACTTGAAGTCGCAGTTCAGTAATAAACATGAATACAGCAAGTCCTGATATTCTGTTATCTCTGAACATTGTTCAAGATATACCCAATTTGATCACAAAGTTCTGTTTTCACCTGTACTCATCACCTCATTGATTCCGAACGCTTCTGACTTCGGAGCCATAAACCATTGTAAGTTGCACTTTATTTCCAGTTGACATTGTATTCTGCCAATTGAAAAACATGTTTCAGTTAGAAAAAACGATTCACGCTGCTCCAGTCCAATGATCAGCCTGAAAACATTACATCCATTGTTTGTCGCTTTGTTAATCAGCTTTTGCTACTGAATAAACCAAGCAGTTCCCAATTCAGCCAATATTAGGAGTCCAGAACCTTGAGTTCTGTGCTTCTTGTCATTTCAATTCGTGCTCCATTCTGCCTCTTCATTGCAGTGAACCAGCATTAATGAACGGAGGTGGTCCATGTTTTTTAGAAAATGGAAAATATCCGGCCTTTGCAGCCGCACATGGCCAATTCTTACAACCATTTCAGTTCAAAAACTAGAAAATAATAAAGGAGAAATAGCACACTCAAATATAGAGAAATCAAATGTAAAGTATATTATTGCTTCGCTATGCATTCTCGACAAAGACGTCCAAGGCGACAACCTTCAATGCTTTGCTTGCCTAGCGGACTTTCTACCTTGTAAGTGGTCCATGCGTGCTTTGACCATTAATTTGCGCTATTTATTAGTTCTTAACCTTCTGATGCATTCTGAAAACATAGTAACTGCAGATTAGAAGCATATCCTGCATGTTGTATTCTTATGTGTCTGATGTAGCAGTGCCATCTGTAGCTAGTGCGTATGGCACTATGGCACCATGATTGCCCTTGTGCCTTCTTCATTCCTGGTTTCTGTCACATCTCCTTTGTCTTTATCATTTCCTCCTGTAGTCTTTACAAACAGCTCAATGAAAAATCATCTTAATGGCGCTTTTGTTGTTCACCTTTCAGTGATTTTTTTTGTCTCTTTGGTCTTGTTCAATAGCAATGCTTAAAATTCTCTTTCATAATATATTCTGCATTCAATAAGAAAGATTTCTTACATTAAATATTTTTTTGTTGGGAAGTCAAATACGGTCACTGAATATAATGTCATTCTGCTGCACCCCTGAAACAGAAATAGGAGAGTTCTTTTTTGTTTCACTGAATGGCTATCTGTTGATTACTCCCTTTGAGAAAAAAAATCTAGTTTGTTTAATTTCATTAGTTTGTCAACGATGATAAATTTGTCGTGATGTCTGAATATAGGGTCACTGGCTGCCCCCTTGAGGCAGCACATGACATCCAGAGGACACGGAAACAGTTACTTGTGTGTCTGCTTATTGCTTCTTCTTAATAGGGCATCTTACATCAAGAGGCAGTTAAATGATTCCCTTGGTCCAGGCAAAATGAGCTTGTTGAGAACCAGGTTTTGGAATGGTATATACTTTATTGGATGACTAATCGAATTTACATTAGTGAACAAGCTAGATGCACAAGTGGATTTGGAACCTAACAATCAATATATTTCCACCTTTGGTCATTATTTTGGCACAACTATGTGGATTCCCTTTGTTGGATAAACGTATCTGCAATTAGTGTTGCAATTACCACTTTCTACATTGCAATACTTTCTTGGCGTGGTTTCGTTGGATTTAGCTCATGATCCACTAAATTTGTGGTGGTGATGCTATATCCTAGATCATGAACCACAACAGGATTTCCTTTTATATGATCATAATTGAAGAACAGCCTATAACGATCAGAGTCATTTGTAGTGGTTGACCGATAAGATTTGCATTCATCATGCACTTTTACAGAACATCAGTGGGTGAACACCTCCCAGTTTGGAATAACTATAGATTAAGATCACTCAATAGATCCCTTTTAGATTTCTTTCTTCCTTTTTAAGCTCTGTATTGAGGATTACACATCCTTTCTTCTATAAAAGGATTACCTATTTTAGGGGAACATAAAGATTATCTTGCTCTCGATCACTTTTGTTTTTTTCCCTTTATTTATTACTTCCCTTTGCGTGGATGTTTCTTGTTTTGCTTCTCCTTCCAACTTTCGAGCAATGATAACGACCATGAAAATCTTACTTATGCTCTTTGGAATCCATCCAATATTAGTTATTGTACAAACTCCACATTTCAGCTGCCTCCTAGATTGTGTCTAAGATTCGTCTCATCAATTGACACGTATAGCTGAACCAAGAAGATGAACAGCATCCAACCATTTTTCAACTGGAGGTCCATTGCTCATTTGGTCAAATGCCTTTGTTTAGAGTTTGCTTGTCTCCGTTTCAAGAAAGAGTTTGCTTGTCTTCACGACCAGTGAGTTGGGAGCACCGGAGCAGCCGACCAGGGTTTCAGTTGACATTAACACGAAATGGTGGTAATTAACAAATGCTCTGACTCTCTAGTTCTTACCGTCCCTATTGAATTCGGAACTAAAATTCAACATCTCTACATCTGCTATTAAGTCTATAGACTGTTTACTTTTGCTAGCTTGTTATCCAATAGAAATTTTCCATTCCACATGAGCACAATAATTGAAAACTAATTTATCTTAAGGATCATAACTGTTTGCATTGTTGACTAATAAAAGGATGTGCAGTCACCATGCATATTAACTGGAACATCATCAGATTGCACTACAGGTTTTGAAATGTGGCATGCCTGACCCAACCACTAGCACAAAAAGGACATTCCGTTGGTTCACAACCATCAGTTAAGTCATCAGTCATTAATTTCTGACCGTATAAAACATTTTCACCATAGGTTCGAGTTCAAAAATGAATGTACAAATCTCTCTCTCTCTCTCTCCCCGTGTGTGCGCATACATGCTTTAAATTTGAATTTTAATATTTTAAATTTTGAATGATGTTTGTGTACATTTGGTTTTAGTTTTAAAATGTAAATGCTACCATCTGTTAGTAGTTATAATGTTATAGTCAAGAACCAACGGTGCTAATGTATTATCACTGTAGTTTCATTGCCTAATTGTGATGAACCTATTTATATCTTGAGAGAATTATGTATTTGGCACTAAAACAAATCGGTCTTTTATATTTGGCACTAGAAAGTTTAAACTTTCTTATTTAGTATCGAGTTGAAATTTTCTTTCGTAAATGACACTGCCGTCTATTTAGACCAGTAACAGCGTCAAGTGGCTAACAAAATGATATAAATACCTTTTATTGTAGCAAAAGTCCAAGGTGCTGAATAGGGAAGGAAAGCCCCAGTCCAAACCGGTGTGTTCTGGTTCTAGCCCTCCCTTTTCGCATGGCAGGCAGGAAGAGAGAGACACGAGAGAACGAAAGAGAGAGAGGGGAGCGGTGTCAGGCGCAGCAGGCCAGCAGTGCCCCATCCTTATCCCTCCCCCACGTGTCGCCAAAATCCCTTGACTTCCCCAACCCACCGTCAGAAAAGAACATGGAAAGGAGGTCGGCCCTGTGTTCATCCTCCTCCAGATCCTCCATGGCGGCGACCCCCCTCCACCCCGCACCCCACCCCCACGACCCTCCCCCAAGGCTGGCGGCCTCCATGGCACCCCCGACCACGCGACCTTCGTCCCCTCCCCATGGCGCCCCCATCCCCAACGGCATCCACAGCATTGCTCCTCCAGTGCCAGTGGCGGCGCGCCCTCCACCCTCCCCAACGGTAGCGCCCCTCCCCACCCCAGCGCGCCCCCACCAGCGGCGCAGACCACGGCGGAGGTTGTGGCCCGTGCGGCATGCGGGAGCGAGCTCGGCACCCGCGGCGACGACTTGTGGGCGAGCGCGGCCAACCGAGACGACGGCAAGGCGCAAGTAGCGGCGCGCGGTGGAGGAGCTCGCGCCGCCGGGGGTGGGGGAGGGCTTGCGCGCCTGCATCCTCCACCATGCTCCATGGATCCGCGGCGGCACCCGGCGTCGGCGCGGCTAGATGGCCCCCCGCGTTCGCTCTTCCTCCCCGCGTGCGGAACAGAGGGCGACGGCCCGGCCAGGCAGCGATGTGTGGCTTGTGTTAGTCGCGGAGCTCGCCCGACGTGCTGCTGCTCTCTCGACGTGCTGCTGCTGCTGCTCGCCATCGACGGCCGTCGCGGAGCTTGCCCGACGTGCTGCTGCTGCTGCTCTCCATTGGCGGCACACGGAGCTCATGGCCTGGGCGGCGCGCCGAGGACGCGGCCGGCGCGAAGCGGGCGAACTGGGCGGCGCACGGAGCACGCGGACGGCGTGGAGCGGGCGAGCTGGCGAGCCGCCGCGGCGGCGGCCACATGGCCATGCGGACAAGCAGCAGCACGTCGGTCTAGGAGCTCCGACATCATGCAACACAGTCGTGCGGGCGCGGAGTAGCAGCACGCCGGCCGCGTCCTCCGCACGACGCCCAGGCTGCGAGCTCCGCTCACCCGCGTGCTACTGCTGCGCGCAGGAGAGGCCGCATTTTGCGCAGCACAGCCGCCGCTCGTCCCACGCCCAAAGCCACATGACCGGCATCGCGTCGAGCTCTAGCGCCATCGCGTCATCTCTGGACAGAGAAGCTGCTCGACGATGTCCTCCTCCTCGCTGAGACGCACGCTGCGCATGAATGGCCATCGCGGAGCTCGCCCCGTCACGTCCCTCGCGTCGCGGCCTGGCACTAGCATCGGCGGGCGAGACCACCCCGCCGCGCCCCCCGCGCTGCGAGCTGGGGCCAGCGCTGGCGGGCGAGGAACTCCCGGCGCGTCCCCCGCGCCTCGATCTGCCGAGTCCGGCGCGAGAGGCCGCCGCGCCTCCGCGACCTCCTGGGTAGGAGACGAACCGCTGGCCACGAGCGAGTATAGAGGGGTATTTTGGTACTTTCGAAAGAAACATGACAGCGACAACGCAGTCAACTGACGGATGGATGCACTAAATGGACAGTAGTGCCATTTACTTAAGAAAATTTTAACTCAGATGCTAAATAAGAAAGTTCAAAATTTTTAGTGCTAAATAAAGAAGACTGATTTGTTCCGGTGCCAAATACATGATTGCCCCTTATATCTTTGATTGAGCACCATCAATTTGAAAACCCACGTGTGATAGGACTAGATGCTCTACCGGAGTTGCTGCGAAGGTTGTAGGGATGGAAGAGCGGCGGGCAAGGCTTAGGGCAGCGGCGGGGGGTTGGCGCCGTGGTGATCACAGCGTAAGGAAGAAGAGAAGGTGCGACTAGGGCTCCCAAGGGAAGCCGGCAATAATTAGGTTGATTCTGCTTAATTCCAATCTTAATTGTTTACAGAGTCTTTATCCTCTCTAGGATCATATAATTAAGGAACAAATACCATAAATAGCTAATAATAATAATATGGGCTCTTAGCCTCTATAGTCGGCGTCCTCCTCTAGCCACTAATGGGTCTGCGCCTATTATAGTAGACGCCGGTTCATAACAAGATGCTTTAGAACCATTTACCAGCACTGCAAATGTCCATTCGCAGCTTGGTTGTACTTCACATTTCTTTTCTGGTGAATATCTATGTAGTATACTTAGCTTTCTTTTGTTCATCTTCAAACAAATAGAGGACCTGCGCCAGAACATTAGCTGCTCTACTAGATTGTGTTTAAGATACTTGTCATCAAGATCAAGATGAGTAGATGGCATGCCTGCACGCATGAAGTCATTCCTTCAAAAGTTCAGATGCAGGTTCATTGTACATATCCTAAGTATAACTATCTCATTAGTCAAATGCTTTTGTTTAGAACCTGCTTGTGTAACGGGCATGCCTACTGGGAGTAGGGTTTGAGTTGACATCAACAGGAGTAGCAATTAAAAATTGTTCTGACTTTGAACAAGTGGTGATTTAGCATCATTATTTTTTAGTTGTTACCTTCCTTGTTTCTTTGGATACCAAGATTTCTCACCATTTGTACTTTCATTGTACATACCTCAATTATAACCGCAAACATTTGGGAAAATAATATTAGCTGTCGAAGTTACCTCATGTGACCATGCCATGCCATCAAGAATCAAAGTAACGATCAACCTTATTAGCTTGTGTTGGAGTATTAGTGAATAGTCCAACTTTACCCATCAGCTTAAGCTTTATCAGCTTAAGCCATGTTAACTGGTAGTTGCAACTCAATGGTTTGTACACCTTGCACTTTGACATTTGACATGGAGACTCCGTATATATACTTTAAAAAAAATTAGCACGAAGCCTAGAGAAGTGAACAATGACCGACACGTATATTATTATACATATAAGTAACAGAACCGGTGGTAATTTATAGGTTATTTGATCAGCGAACGCATTGTTCAGCGTTTACTTGTCCCTGTTTGTCTGCCTAGCCCGCCTATAGGGAGGATGGGTTCAGTTGTAATCTACTGCTCTTCTGGAATGGTTGATTAACAATTCTGCTGACTTTGCCCATGTAGTTAAATACTGATATTTGACTGGCACTTTTAAATTAACAATATATATAATATAGCATCGAGTCAAACATGAATAAACCAATTGGAGTAAACTACACCACTGTCACATAAGACGACTTTGTGTTCTTTATACACAGCATGTGCACAGCAATATATAGGTTTATTAATGTAGATGTGCATAAGCATTGAGCCATAGGGTGAAAGAGAAATTATGAGCTGACACAGCCCACATGGCAGCTGCCTATATAAACCGGACAAGTAGTACAAACCCAAACCAAGCCAGAACCAAAGTTCAAAAGTCCCAATCCAACCTCGAGAGCTTTCTTACCATCACTTGGCCTATCATCCATATATATTTCCATCTGAATATATGAATATGAAGATTAGGATGGGTGGTCATGATCTGAAGCTCAAGGGCTTCAAGAGGGCTCTGAAGCAGCAGCAGGCCAGACTCTACATCATTCGTCGATGTGTTGTGATGCTCATAAGCAGGAATGATTGATTGGTTCATTGATCTAGCAACTAGCTAGGATCAAAATTCTCAGGCAGGGAGACCCTTGCCCTGTCCGCATCATCTCATCATCACCAGCATCTTCTCAAGGAGAGCACACAGCTCAGCACTGAGCATCATTCCTGAGGCCCACTGTGGCAGGCGAAGGAGCTGCAGAGGGGGTAATTGCAATCGCAAAGGGTGCTCAGGCAGAAGAAGGCCAAGCTCTACAGTATCCGTTGATGGGTCAATCCTACATAGCTGCTGGAGCCCGGAGTGACTTAATTGAAAGATAAGCCTAGTGCTAAAGCACTTGCATCTTACTTTCCTGTATTTTTATTTTCCTTGACTTCGAAGCCTAATGTTAGAAATATGCTCAGCATCCACTTTAGTGGTTAGAATATGCCGTAGCAAGTGCGAGTCTCCTTTGTCTATAAAGGGCAAAGGAGTGTCATTGTAAAAACAAGCCATTGCATTTCCATTCAATCCAAACGGCCAAGGGCCAAGCTGCCCTCTGGTAGTTTCAGATCTGAACCTGAGATCTCATTGGGCCAACAAATTACTATCGGAGCCGAAAGGGTTCTTGAGTGAGTGAGCGACATGTCCACTGTTAGCTAGAGCGCGAGAGCGCGCACCGCCGTGGGTGCCAGAGCCGACGATCGCGCGATGCGCCTTGCTGCCGTAGAGGCAGCGGCCGAGACGGCCAGGCAGGCGGCGCCTGCGGCCCAGGCCGCGGTAGCCTCGGCCGTAGCGCTGCGCGCCGAGATGGAGCGGGAGCCGGAGCCGGAGCCAGCTGGAGGATCGCGTAGCCCGATTGGGCGCCGCGGCCAGTCGCCGTCACCAGAGCATCGTCGTGGTCGGTGTGGCCGCTCCCCGGTGTTGCAGACGGTCTACCGCGACTCCGGAGCGGGAATGCCATGGCCGATGCTCACTAAGTCGAACTACCACGAGTGGAGCCTGCTGATGAAGGTCAAGCTGTAGGCCCGGCGGCTGTGGGAGGCGGTTCACGTCAGCGACGTATGAAAGGTCCTAATATGGCTAGAGGGGGGGGTGAATAGCCTATTTAAAATCTACAAGATTACTAGAGCAATTTGATTAATATGACAAATAGCGAAATACAAACTTGCTCTAGCTCTATAAGGGTTGTAAGCCACATATCCAACAATTCTAGTTACTATAATCACTAGATACACAAGAGGCTATGTTACTACTCAATAAGAGCTCTCAAACTTGCTGCACTAAAGAGCTCTACTAGATGAACTTAAACTACAAGACAAGCTCTCAATTCTAATTACACTAAAGAGCTTGCTACAACTAGTTTGCGGAAATATAAATGAGTGAGTAGGATAATTATACCGCCGCGTAGATGAGTGAACCAATCACAAGATGAATATCAATTCAATCACCAGGAAAATATCAAAGGACAAAAGACAACCAATTTTCTCCCGAGGTTCACGTGCTTGCCGGCACGCTACGTCCCCGTTGTGTCGACCAACACTTGGTGGTTTGGCGGCTAATAGGTATCACGCACCTAGCCCACCACAAGAGGCACCGCAAGAACCTACCCACAAGTGAGGTAACTCAATGACATGAGCAATTTACTAGAGCTACCTTGCGGCTCTTTACCGGGGAAGGTACAAGACCCCTCACAATCACCGGAGCTGGCCACGAACAATCACCAACACGTGTCGAAGCTTCTCCGCTGCTCCAAGCCGTTTAGGTGGCGGCAACCACCAAGAGAAACAAGAAATCCACAGCCACAACGATCTCCAAGTGCCACTAAATGCAATTACTCAAGCAAATGCACTTGGAATCACTCCCAATCTCACTATGATGATGACTCAATGATGGAGATGAGTGGAAGGTGTTTGCTTAGGCTCACAAGGATGTCAAGTATGTCAAAGTGCCAAGAGGGTGAGCCATAAGCCGGCCAGACACTATATATAGGCACCCCAACAAAATAGAGCCGTTGTGCTCAAAGGGGTGCCTCCGTGTACTAACCGGACACGCCGG